TGAAGTTCGATATTTTTAATATCGGATTCGATTTGCTGGCAAAAGTTGATTATTTTTCAAAAATGCCATTCTTTTTCTGAGGACAGGATGTGGGAAAATTTCACAAGGCAGAACAGGACAAGGGTGACGAAAGTATAAAAAACATTCTCCAACGTCTTGTCATAAATTAAAACATGTTTCAGTTTTTATACAAATTCAGCCTGTTTAAACTAATAAACACTGCTTTTTTTCCTTTTCTAACATTTGGTGAGAGTATGCAGATATTATTTCTCCATATTTAATATAGAAATGGGACTGCTAGAAATTTGCTCTGATTCAGATGACAAGATCAGATCAGACGAGTTCATATGTATCATTTCATACGATCTTGTATGAAATCATCTGATCTAACCGGATTTTGCCGTACGACTGCTGTTCATTCTGTTACCGTTTTCCTGTTGTTTCTTGCTCAATATTTTTGCTTGTACTTGCTGTTTCGGCTAAGCAGAATTTTTTTACTATTAATCTATTCATCCTTGTCTGACATGCATAAAAAATATACAAAAACAAAAGAAAAGAATGTTTAAACAACTATTTCTGAAACTATTTTGGGCTTGTAAAAGAAATGTACTGCGCTTTTTCATGAAGACAGTCTTCAACCTGCAGCAGGCCAGTAGCCAGGCAAATTCTAAAAAACTCAGTGTCTTACAAGCTTCATAGCTGTACTTTTCAAAAAAAAACAGGAAACAAGAGAAAAGTTCAGAAAAAACAAAAATTAGAGAATTAGTTTTATATTGGTCTTTGCGGAGCTGAGTGAAGGGTTTCAGAAATTTCGTAGAAAGGTGGGAGCAGCATGAGAGTGAGTCACCACATAAAATTTCATCTTGAGTTTCGGAATATTTATGCTTGTGTAGATCAAGTGTTAATTGTTCTTTTTAAAAAGTATTGTGGAAAGAAAGTTTTTGTGAGACATGCAGCTTGACTATGTTTAACTACAATCTAATGCTTGTTTTTTAATATATTAGCTAAATAATCTTTTGTTAGTAATTTATGAATAAATTTATAGATTAATATTGAGTGCGATTGGGTTTATTTGACGGTCAAGATCAATATGAGGGTGTTCCACTAGGTAATTTCGTAGAAAGGAATTAAACAGAAAGAAATTTCGTAGAAATTTTGGTTTCAGACCTTAAAAAATTTTTTACATTTTTTCTCATATTATCTATTCTATAAACAAATCAATAACTGCACTTAATCAACTGAGGAATATATTTAAACTAACAAGGTGGAATGACAGTATGGACCTAATTTCAGCCATGTACCCTGCGACCATGTAATAGCCAACACCAGAGGAAGAGTTTAAGAGGTTTAAGATCTGAAATTTCTATGAAATTTGTCGCAATTCCTGGGTGAATACTACTATTTTAGAGAAAACGAGGAAAATCTCCCATGCAGTTTAGCCTCGCCACACAAGTTAACCATATCGAGTTCGTTCTATGTCGTTCTATGTCATTCGAACATGCATTCCTTCAGCTTTGATTTGATATAAAAATAAGATTTCAACACATTTTGATGGCAGTAGAGCAAAAACAAGAACGACCGTTTTTGCCTTTTAGGTTACTTTGTAGTCGAGTGTGCCACGTCAGATCATACTAGGGTATGTCGTTTATTTTGATAATAGCGCAAATCGTGTTTGTCTTCAACTAGAGCTAAGGAGAAGCCATAGAAAATGTTCAGTTACAGAAGAAATTGGTGTGAAAGTTGACCAGTAAGGGATTACTTCAAAATCTGAATTCTCTTAGAAACTATGTTTCGCATGATTTTTCGGGAGAGCGACTAGGGCTTTTACTTCAATTTACTACTACAAAGTTCACGGGATCTCATCTCGGCTCTCAACTCATGTATATCTGGGCGGAAGTGGAGTACCCTGTACAGTTCATATTATCTCTTTTTTGTTTGCTTCGTATTACACGATCATATATGAAATAGCGTACGATCAGATGGAATGATTCTTATAAAATCATATGATATGATTTCGTCTGATCAAATTATACGATTCAGACGAGATCGTACTGTTCGTATGATCTTATCGGATCTTGTCTTATCATATCAGACATAATATCTCATCTAGTTTTTCGATGCCAAATATATATTCTTAATTACACTTAGCAGTTAGTTGCATGTTTAAAAGCTAGTGGAAACTATCCATATATTCTGTGATTCTAAACGGAGCCAGTTCCGCTAGATTTTGAGCGAAGAAGGGTATACTAGCGATACATTATTACGGCAGGATTGTGTAATAAACTAAGAGTTCAGTGTTTGTTTCCATGTACTGAAAAAGGAGAGCACTGCAATGTGAAATAAATTAATCACAATAAGATATATACACTGTGTGCCTTAATAACGATTAGTTATGACTAATCTTGATCAACAGTGCTGCGTTACACAGCAAATATATCATCTTCTTTATCATAACAATGATCAACTCATAACAACTGAGCAGTGGATTGGTCGGTTGTACTATTTAATCTTTCCTTTCTTTAATTCTGTTGTTTTATGAGTCATGAAAATATTTTACATTCTTTCTTTCTCATGAAAAATTCACAATCAGTAAGAATTTATATAGCTACATCTACACTTACAAAATTCTGATCGCCATAACATATTAGAGAAAAAGAACGAACGAAGAAAAACAGTGTGGTGCAAAGATTTATTTCTATATGTAGGAAAATTCTCTTCTTACTTAAATACAAAAGTTATTATTTTTTTATTCTATACTTAAAAATAACTTATACCTTTAAGAATTATGGACATGTTTTTTTTGTCTCAATAACAAAATTTGCTGCTGGTAAATGTAATTGCACAATGATGTACACACAATGACGAAGTGTAGTTTTATATGATCAATATATATATTCACATACATATACACACACATAGACACGCTCTGATCATTCATCGAAACAATCATCACTGATGCTAGCTCATCAACAACAATTGATCAAGCCAGATACTGTTAATTCCCAAACTCAAGTAAGATTATATTCTTATATTTGATTGAACACTTTCATTGAAAAAAATTATAGCGTGTCGAATCAGTTTCTAAAATTGACTCTGGAAAATTTCACAGATTTTGAACTGATCATAATCACTTTATATAGTCTAAAGGTTGAGGAAGAATGATTGATTGAATAGGATGACCTTTATCAAGTATAAAGAATCATGTGTTTCTATCTTATTTTCTTCATCTATTTTAATTTGCACAAAGTAGAATATGTATTATACTAGTGTCTGAATATAAGTGAAATGAACATAGAACAAAAATGAGCAGAACAGACATATTATAGATATGCTGACTCAATTTTTCTTAAAATTTTTCTTTATTATTTTTTTGTTCGTTTCGTTCTTTCTGTTCTTGTCAACATATATGCGTTGCTCTTATATAGCGTCCATGTGATTAAAGAGAAAGCTTGACAAATGAAAGAACGATATTAATATATACGTTAATGAGACAGTGAATAGAGAATAAAATCGTTTTTTCGAAAGAGAGAAGAGAGTTTATGGTGAAAAATACAGACTTTCATCGTTCTTCATGCTGCGAAACTGAAGTAAAAAGAAAATCTCGATTTTCAAAAGAATATACCTTAGTGCGATAAAATTCTTTTTTCCATTTAGTTACTGAAAGTAAAAATTGTTTTTTTGTTTACGTACTTCTGCTGTGAAAAACTAATGATTCTTTTCTCTTCTTTTTAAAATAAAATTAAGACTCAAGACGATGAAATAGACGATGAAACAACGACTGATGATAAAATGGAAAGACGTAGTAATGTCAATCGTCATTATCAAACAAAGTTAAATAATCACATTGAAGAAATGAACGGTTTCATTAATGAGGACAATAACGTAAACTACATGAAAAACGTGACAAAACTTGACACAGTAGAAGATAACAATAAACTTCTTTACACAAAACAAAAACGTCGAAAACTGATTCTTCATTTTGATAATAGAAACACACTGCAGGTATGGATGCATAGATTCTTTCTACTTTTGAATGAGATAAGTAGACATTTTTACTATTTTTCATAATAGTTAACTAGAATCTTATCAGACATCAGTTCCTTTGGTGATGAAATGTGCGAAACTTCCCGAATTTTCAATTACTAAAAAATAATCTTGATGTTTAAACAAAATTCAATATAAATCAAAAGTTACTGTGCAAATATAGTCACTATTAGAAATAAAAATATTTCATTATAAATATTAGTGTTTTTCTTTTGAGTGATTGATTACAGGTAGAAAAACAAAAACAGTAAGCCATGTAAATAATATAACAAAAACATTAATCATCGCTTTATCTTCAAGATATTAGTTTATTAATATCTAAATGCAAAATAGGGTTATTAGCTTAGACAAGGATATTGTTAGAGAATATGAGTACAATGCAATTATTTTTATTCTTCTATCCGTCCGTATAGTGAGGATTAACCCTCATATCCCAACCCATGGAATAGTAGCCTGGTTCCCACCTGGGACCCAAAGTTGATAAAACAGGCACAGTACACGGAATTAACATTAGGCTATATTGAAATTGTGGAGGCTTTACAGGAGACTTCAGCCTGGATTTTCCTGAGTCCACACGGGCCTCAAGTTAATGAACAGAAAAGAATAAATGAAATTATAATTATGTTGTTTTGGAACTAATCGGTGGCCCAGATTAAATGAGCCACTTTTGTTCTTTGGTTTTGAGGCGCTCAAAATTGTTTTAAAATCTGATTTTGAGCTCGTTCGGTAGAAAATGCATTGCTCTACAAAACTGTCGACTTTGTTTTTTCAAATAAAATTTTCTTGTCAGCGCAAAATTCTATCAACAACAACTGGAAGTGATTGGCTGATGTTATCAGCATACTCTACTAATCTTTGCAATGGCATATCTAAAGAGGCGAAGTTTGATTCACTATTGTATGTGTATAGTATTAAAATGAAACTGGCTGGGATCCGGGCGGACCCCAGGTGGTGATATGAGGGTTAAAATAATCGACAAAACTCGAAAAAAAATCAACAACTCCACAATCTTTCGCTCTTTTAAAAGGAATTTTATAATAGTTAGACAATATATTAGTTTTAACTGTCAGTCGATAACATCTCTTAAAGTCTTTATTCTAGATTTGATAACTTCCTTATGATCCATATTCGTAACTCATAATGAAATATTTTATTTGAGATTTTTTTCTACGAAAATCTGTTAATTTTTCGAAATATAATAACGTCAGTTCATCCTATGATATACAATCATTGTTGTTTTTTTATCATAGGTTGCTAATAATGTCTCTGCAACAACAATCGAACAAGGTACATATCCATTGAATTATTACCATTTGACTATACTAAGCATACTTGATCTATTTTAGGTGTGAATAATTTTTTAACCGGTGTTTTATGGGGTCGAGAAGTCGATGGAGAATGGGAATGGATTTCTACAGAGCCATCATTACAGAAACCAGAAGGTTGTCCAAATTGTACTACCTATTTCAAATATTTGGAAAATCAATTAGTCAAGTCAGCTATCGATCGAAAAACATTACGCGAAAAAACTGGTCAGTTTGTTCACTCTGAAGGTGAACGATTTAAATGTTTTTATGATGAATTAGTTGAATTATTACGTTATAATAAAAAACCGTCAGTGTGCCGTCGTCGTGAAGATAGAATTCTTGAAGAAGAGAAAAATTTGAAAACAGAAAATGATAAGGAGAAAGAAATAAAACGACCTCGACGACAATCTGTTCTGTATGCTGATCCTTTACCCGTAAATGGTTATAGAAGTGCTGATGGAACATTGTATCATTACATATTACCAGCATTTTTTCGTCTAATTCAATATTTACAGCAAACAGATCGAGATTATGCTATTATATTACGAACAATGGGAGATGATAGTGTCAATTTTTTATATAATGCACAACGTGTTTTAGCAAATGAACATCCCAATTTTACGTTTGAAAAATTGATTCCTGTAAGTTTAATTCCCGGTAAAATCAGACGAACAGGTACATTGGAAGGAAAAGATGAAAAAATTACGTTAGAACTACCAAAGGTCGATGATAACGATGAGTTAATGGAAATTGATGATGAATTTCAAATAAATGATAAACTAAAACAATTCGATGGTATACATGGTATTAAAGATGATTTTAATTATTGGTGTAATAACCAATATTTATATTCATCAAGTAAACCGATTTGGTTTGATCCTGAGAAAGACGTTGATGTTCATCATATATTATTCGATGACAATTTTCGTGTAATTGATCCATATGATTCAATTGTTGATATTCGAGTAATGAATCATAATACACATCAATGCAAAACAGTACCATTTGAACATTATTCGAAATTAGAAAACGTTTTTGCCGTACAAGCTGATCTACTAAAAATATTAGAAAATGAGAATTATTTTGTTGAAAAAATTGAAGAATGTGAACGAAATTTAGATAAATTATTGAACAATGTTGAAATTTTAAATCAAATACGACAGTAATTGTGAGGTAATACTCTAACTTGTTAAATATGGCAATCTCGTCAGCTTACTGTTCATCCTTATAGGAAATTTCAATAAATCAAATTTTAAATTTTTCACCTGTGATACAACAAATAGTCGACATTTTTTTTAAGTAGTGTTCTTTGTTTTTCAACTAGTTTTATATATTTAACCATTATTTTTCATGTTTTCAGTTTTAAATCATTGTTTTTGTCAGATAGAAAATGCTTAATTTTTTCTGCAGACAATTGCACAGTCCGTCCTAATTTATACAATGAAAGAAAACAATGCTGTCATCTATTCTTGAGACTATTTTTATTGTTTGTATTTTCGTACCTCTTAATATGCAGATATTAATACTCACGTTTAGTCTTTTGGATATAATGCGAAGTATGCTACTGTCTATAGACAGTGGATATGGACAGTGGAAAAAATCTTGTATACAAGATTTTTTTCGAGTAATCAGAAAAAGCCCAGTATAATGAACTCTCAATTAGATCTGACGATTTGTGGCAGAAAAAATTCTAACGGATATTGACATCATAATTTTTGCTGACTACAATGTGTTGACTCCATCCAAATTAATTGTGTTTTTTAATACCACTTTTCCCTTTCACAATAATATCAGAATGTTTATTGAGCATGCTAGAATTGTCTGACGAGGGAGGTCTACCACCTTATAAATCGTTTTCTAGTCAAAACCTAATTGACTATAGGTAATCAACCATGCTAATTCCGAATACCACCATGGCTGCTGCTGCTAGGTCTTCAAAGATCGATTTTCTGGAAAATTAGTTTTAGAAACTTTAAAAAATAACCAAAACCTTTTCTTAATGCTGCATGATTGTAGCCCGCACATTTCTGATTAAAATGAGACGCCCCCCAGCTCTACACGACCTTTCTTTGCAAAGTTATAGAGTTTACAAGAAGCCATAAATGTTCATTGTCAACTCAAAGCTACAGAAATAAGAAGAAATTAATGTAGGGCTTTCCGTGTAAATTCTATAACTTTGCAAAGGAAGGTCGTGTAGAGCTGGGGGACGTCTCATTTTAATCAGAAATGTGCTGGCTACAATCATGCAGCATTAAGAAAAGGTTTTACTTATTTTCTAAAAAACTGGTTTTCCAGAAAACCGATCTTTGACGACCTAGCAGCAGCAGTCATGATGATTTTCAGAATCAGCATGGTTGATTACCTATAGTCAATTAGGTTTTGACTGGAAAACGATTTATAAGTTGGTGAACCTCTCTCGTGAGTCGTAGAACCTCGAAATGTGTCTTTAAAAACCTTTTCAATGATAATCTTAGGTCTAGAATCCAATGTGAAATATTAGACCAATATCTTTAGCCATCATATGTATGTTTCCGATTCAAATGGAGTTAGAACTGAAAAATAAGATGCGCATGAAAATTTTCGCATGAGAAAATCGGAATTTTTGAGAGAGAAAAAGTCCGTTTCGATCAACTTTTAGCCGCTCTAATTCTGTCATTTCAAATTTTTCACAGTGTCAAACTACACGTTAATATAATCGGATTGGTGAACAACATTCAGATTCAACATCCACCGAATTAGCTAAGTCGGGTCATTTTCAGATGCATATCCAACAGAATTTTTTTCTCAAGTCCAAATTCGAGTCCAAGACTTTTCTACAAATTTTTCCACTGAGCTGCTTCATTTCATACATCATATTATATATTATTTATTGAAATAAATAACATAATTTCATGACATACATGTAAATAGTTAATTAGCATTATACATTAAATATATGTTTGATAAAAAAACAGGTTAATGGATTATGTATGAAATTTTTTGAATATGAGAGTTTTCATTTGAACAAGAACAGAAGTTCTTGTGTAATCGCTAGTTACTCCGATTCCACCATCTAGACGCGAAAAATATATATGGGTAATCGAGGTCGAGAAACGACCTCAAATAATTCAGTAGAGTCGTATCAGAGTTGCAACCGACCTAAAACTAAGAGGGCGGACCGGGCCGGCCGGACCCAAAATCTGTTTAGACCGGTGAAAAACCGGCATGGTGAAAACTTGCAAAAAAACCAGTCGGTTGAGAATTTTTATCAGTAAAACTAAATATCTTTAAGGAAAAAGTGGTCTTCACTAGCTTTTTCTTATTTCTCTTAGGTGTTTTACTAACGGCTTGTCCAAACGTCACGGCATTACGTTTTTGACGCACTAAACTTCGGTTATCTCGGAAACTAAAGTAGCTAGAAAGTTCGTTCAAACGTCAATCGACGCAGTTCAGCATGCTCTACTTATGCTGTGAAAACGAAGTTTTTGGATGTTACATTGGGCTTTGAGAAGAATTTTAGTGTCACGGCGTTACGAAAAAAGGCCCTTTATTTCGAGCGCACTTGGAAATTCTTTAATTTCCTGTGAAGTTAATTTTGTGAAAAGGAAACTTTCTAGAGCAAAATTAATAGAGTAATTGACGGGCTATCCGATGGTAAAAGAAATTTCTTCTAGCGCTTTTTGCTAGGGAGAAAGGTGCAAAATAAAAACGTCACGGCGTTACGTTTTTCGTCATGGCGTTAAGCACTTTTTTGTCAGGGATATTTGAGGCACTTAACACGATGGTAAAGTTTTGATTTTCACAGGTTCCTGTGTTCTTTGTATATTTGATCGATCTGCGCAAAAATTAAGTTGCTGTATCAAAATAAGGGCTCAAAAACTGGATAGTAAGTCGGAAACTGTACAACTATGTACAAATTGTACATAGCAAGTAAACTCAAAAACAAATACGCCATTTTGTAGAGAAAAAAATTCTCTACAATTCTCTAAAAAAGTATATTTTTAGAAATCTGTTTTAAAAAATGTTTTTGGTTATAACATTAAAAGTCCGGTTTCTGAAAAGTTCAAAACCAGATTTTTTGAATGAAAAATGAACTTTTTTGAAAAACGAGTTTCAAACGGGTTCTTAGAATAAAAAACTGCATCTAATCATGTGTTCAAAACTTTCGATATCGAAAAAAAAATTTTCAAAAACTTGATCAGAGAAGTGTACCGTTACGTGGACAAACCATCAAGTTTCTTTTGAATGAAGACGAGAAAAATGCTGAAAATTCTATAAACGGTAAAAAACCGGTTGATACCGGCGGCTTTGAAAAATTTTCTAGATCGGCAACAGGCCGGCCGGTCTGAACTTTTACGTCGGATCGGCACTGGGCCAGCACGCGACCGGCCGATCTGTCGGCCCAGTTTCAACTCTGAGTCGTATCATGCTGCTGTTTATCAGATTGTTCTCATTTTATGCGTACATTCTAATTTTGAAGTTAAATTTTTTTATTGATCTGCTTTTATTTTCTCGTCTTGACACTTTTACTATTGTTTGTTCAAAAGAAGAACGAATTTCGGTCATTTTCCCAATGACTTTTGAATAAAAAGAACTAAAAAGTTGTTTAATAAAAATCTCAAAGACCCTTTCAAAACACTCTTTGGAAAAAGGATTTCCAAGCTTAAGTTTAACTATTGACAAGGAAAATCTTGGTTATAGATTGCTAAAACTGCAGCTTTTTAGTTATTTTCATTCTAAAGGTATTGGGAAAATGACCGAAGTTAATTCTTCTTTTGAACAGACTCTGGTAATTAGCAGCATGATCCGACTCTATCGTATTATTTGACAGCCGTTTCTCGATCTCGGTATGACAGCGTTGTAGTGGCCAAAAGTTGGTGAAAAACACTTGTTTTCATATAGATGACATTAAGTTAGAAAATATGCTCTAGTTGCTAGAATCCATTTTGAATGCAAGAATGAATATTTGAAATATCCGAGAATTTTATTTGTAGAGTTGAACCTTTCGCACTTGTTTAAAGCAAAGTAAGGAAACAAGTAACTGAAATGACATGTGAATGTACGAGTTACACTGCGATACGTGAACATTTCATGGCTAAAATGAAGAAGGTTACTTCTGTTTTGCAAACCATTACAATATCAGAACAAATGTCGAGTTGGCTAAATAAAGCGTTCTTTTTTTCTGTATAATGAATGATTTTTAAAACACGTAATGCTATCTAAAAGTGCATCAGATGACCTTTCTTAAATAGCTTGTGTTCCCGTTTGCTCTTTTAATGTAACATCCACAAACAAATAATCTTTCAGAATATTGTTGCATATCTCTCCACTTATCAGCTATTATTAAAAAAATTTTTTTGCATGTCATAAAGCACAAGTGCAATGAATATTGGATTATATTCTTAAATACACAAAACAATAGTCTAATGATTTCTACGCAATTATCAATGTATCTTACAACTTTATCTTTGGATACCACTGAGAGTCAAAAGAGATATAATCTTGACTATTAGATAGCACTCACATCAACGGGAAATCTTGATAGTGAACACAGATTTAAAGAAATATATTAGAACATTTTTTTTTTTTACTCTTTATTCGTCAAAAGAAAGATCAAGAGAAGAATCAATTGGAATGTTCCGTGTCGAGTCTGTTAAATCAGCATATAAACTTAAATATATACATGTATACAGTAGATATGAAAAAAAATCAAAACATCACAACCGGATATAGAATTAGCTACTTGTAGAAATTATTATTAAACAAACCAAAGATGCTGTTCTTCGAGATAGAAAAAAAAGTGCATTAGTCTAAGCGAGAGAAAGAAGAACTGAGCATATCTTCGGTTGTGTAATTCTGTGAGTAGGATTTAGTCTATCCTTGATAATGCAGAAAAACATTTTTTTCTATCCCTTTCTCTGTACCGTCATAATCATTATCATGATGATGATGATTTTCCGATGAAGAAGAAAAAAGAAAGAGAAGAAGCGTGACTTGTTAACGGTTGATCAAACAACAAATTTGTCGGTTGTACAACGAGCGAGCGAGAATGGAAAGGCAATCTAATATATTTATAAATGTGATAGTCTATATTTCAAAATCGCGACATTGTTATACATCTTACTACTAAGTGATAGACTATTGAGATGAGACTCTCTCTTTTTACTCAAAAATAATAGGATAATGTCGATGATATGAAAGAAGAACGAAATCTATTTCTTTTCCGTATTGTTGTTGTTGCTGAACTTGCGACAACAGAACAATATTCTTTCTCGCTCTTTTCTCCAAATTCCAATAATCTATACATATGAGATTTTTAACACAAGTATTATATATAAGAAACAGAAACGAAAGAAGAAAAAAGATCTTATAGATTATTTTTTAAGAGAAAAAAAAAAAAGAAGAAAAATCTATCTCAATGTTTTTGTTGTCCTCAATTGAGTGTGTCAATGACGGCAATATATTCGTTAATTCAAGAATTCGGTTTTCTTTATAGTAATACAGTCGTTCTAACTGAAGCGAATATAAACGAATGAAGAGATTGTAAATTAAATTTGACCAAAGAAAAAGAAAAAAAAAAAAAACAGAAAAAAGAATGAATAAGAAGAGAATTTTTTTCAACCATTAATCAATCTTGAACAGTAATCACACATAGATCACGTACGACTAGTAGATAAATCTGGCAATATATAGAGAAGTAAAAAAAAAAAAAAGAACATAACGGAAAACCTTTTTTTTTCTTCTATCTCTCGGTTGTTTTTTTTTTTTTTTTTGTCATCATCATTCAAATAAGAAAAAGAAACATCTAAACAAGATATGATTGTGCATATATTGATAAAAAAAACAAATAAAAATCAATTTGTGTTTTTCCCATTTTTTTCACTTTCACTTTTTGTTTTTATAATCACATAAATATTAGCAATAAAGATGAGACAGTATCCAGTGAACAAATAATTATTGCCACTTTTGAACAGAGTATAACTCCAATATATCATGACGTTATCATACTGTTAATGTAAGTTGTTAGCGATGATTATAACATTTAACAAGAGACATGAGTGACTTTTTATTGTTATTTATATACTTTGTTATCGTTTTTGTAACATAAATATTAGCTTTTATTGATTGAATATTAAAATATATTGACTTTTAGGATATTGTGATAACCGACCGCAGTGATATTGATGTGTTTAGTTTCAAAATCATTAAAATAATGTAGTCAAAGTTTGATAATCGAAATGATAAAACATAGAAGAGTTAAAGTTTTGTGTGTTTAGGAAGAAAAAATAAGGCAATAAGTCATTTTATAATGTCAATTTTTCTCTAATGGTTTTGAGCAGTTATGTTGAGTAAATGGGTTCCGAGAAATAAACTTGATGCGCGAATAAAAAAACGTCTTAAGACGGAACATAGATATGTCTGTTCTGAAAGTTTAGACTTTCTTGATCACGTAACTCTGCTATTAAAGCGAAATACCGCACAGCCTTTTTTCTGCTTTGCAGCGTTTTCGATTAAGTGGGCGAATTCTCCCGCCTTGTTTGAAATAATTACGCCATTCATTTTAAAAAATTTACTCCTACTAAAAAAAGAGAATTACTCCGAAAAGTTAAAAGCCTTTTTTTTCCGTTTTTTGATTATCAGCGAAATTTTTAGAGTTTCTCCATAAAACTTCCCCCATCTTGCAAAGTTATATCGAAAATGCTTCTACTTTGTACTCTGCTACTTGTAACTTATTTGGAATGGAGATAGACGCAGAACTCTCCAACATTTTAACTTATAGAATAAACTGTGCTGAATATTTTGAAATATTTCGATATGGACAGATCTCCACTCGAAATGTGTCGAGACAAAAATATAACGAAATTTCACTCTGGTATCAGAGTTACATGACCAATTCATGATATAGCTCTCATCAAAATATGCCGAATAATCGAACACGATTTTTGAAATGCTTGGTCAAACAGATTTTTAAAGAAAAAAAACAGAATTTTTTGAAATAGAAACTCATACTGCAACGAGAAGGAAAATCTACCATTTTCAAGATATCGATATCTGATTTTATTTAAAACAAACCCGATTTGTAGTACAGAATTATACAGAAAATTATAGCTGACATATAGACTTGTTTTGCCTGTAACGCTTTATATGCTTCGACATTTTAGAGTGGAAATTTGTAACTTAATTAGATTATAGTGTGTATATTCCTTCAAATTTTAACTCAGATCGAATGTAACGTATAGAAATAAAACGTTTTATGAGAAGATCATGATTTATCTTGGCTAATTTGATGTGAAATTCAGCAATAGTTGTTCATATAGGATGTACTAATCTACATTGTAACATAGACACCCTTCGATAGTCTCAAATATGATTTTATTTTGTGACATAGAATAACATTTTTTTCTTTATCTAAATAAGGATGATTAATAATATATGGTGAAAAAAAAATGAAGACATATCTATACCTTTATGTGGACTATGAATAATTATCATCACGCTATATCAACTCAACATATTATCATTCATGTTTTAAAATACTTAAAACAATTTTTGGATATTATTCTACAATTTCATTATTATTATTATTATTATTATTATTTACGTAAACAACAACAGCAAATCATCTGTATGTTGAATTACATAATAAATGTTCTAAAACGGACGACCTTTGTTCCACTGATATTGGAACTAGTTCAAGAATTAATTGACGATTGTTTTGGCTGTTGTTTGTTTGTCTATCCATGTACAAAGTTTATCAAGGAAAATCTATTATTAATTATTTATTAGTTTTATTAATAATTTGGTATTTAAGTAATACAAATATTGTCATGTGCTATTTTAATCGTCCATCAGGTATCTTCTACCTAAAGTGATTATTATTACTCATTTGTTGAACATGTATATATTTGTTCTAGCTATATCACCTGTATCAGAAGCAAATATTGTTCTTGGTGCATATTTTTCTGTTCATAATCCTCCACCTACTGGAACGGGTGGACGCCTCAGGGAATGGTATGTATTCTTGTCGATCTATAGTATCTAAATCTATAGTATTCTAGTAACCCTTTCAAAACAGAATAGACTCGCCACGTTTTTTTGAATGCGTTTGCGACAAATAAAGAGATTCATGGTTTTTGTCCTTCTACAGAGATCAACAAGTATCTTTTTCCAATAAAAGAAAGTTTTAGAAGATAAAATTTTGATATATGCTTTTGACAATCAGTTCAAATTTTCAAAATTTGAAATAACAACGTATTCCTTTTTTTATATGCATCGAGAGTTTAAAACGTCCTCTAGATAAACAAGAGTCAGCTGAATACTTCATGTAGAATGATTTTTTTTCAGCGTGTTATCGGTCTTCCTGAGATCCGCTAACCTGGTAACCTCAAAAACTGATGAAACATAGATTATCGATATTGCGGAGTCTCGCGACAACGTTTATTCTTCGGAAAAAACTTTAGAAACCTACTGAAAATATGTATTGAGTAAAATAATCCATTTATGACTGTTTAACTCAATCAAAATTTACTTAATCTACTTCAAAACATCAAGGTATTCTCTATTCTATACTTGGAATATCTTGAAGTTCAATAAATAAGTGTTAACATTGATAGAAAATGTAATTAACGAAGATATTCTAGATATCTTTGAGACCATCAATGTTTTCCATGTAAATAAAAGGAATACATTCCTATTTCAAATTTAAAAATTTGAACTGATTATCAAAAGCACATATCAACATCTTATCTTCTAAAACTTTCTGTTATTGAAAAAAGATACCTGTTGATCTCTTCTGTAGAAGAGCGAAAATCATAAATCTTTATTTGTCGCAAACGTATTCAAAAAATGTCCGAGTCCATTCTGTTTTAAAAGAGTTAGTAGTAATAGTTAGAACTTTTGTGTTCAAAGTGGTGATATACGCGAAGATTATGGCATTCATCGAGTTGAAGGCACTTTTTGGATATTGGATCAGATTAATGCGAATCAGTCTATCTTGCCAAACATAACGCTTGGCTATCAAATTCGTGATTCATGTTGGTATGCACCAGGTGAGTATATTGTACAGAAATTTCTTCTGGTATCTAATTGTTTTTTCTATTCTTACAGTCGCATTAGAGCAAACAATTGAATTTATTGGCAATTCAGTGCTGGCTGATAATGGGCAAATATCAAGATCTCGTTTAGCAGCCATTATTGGACCGGGTGATAGTTCAATAACTATGCAAGTACACAATATATTACAATTGTTTGAAATGCCACAGATAGGTTATTCAGCAACAGCTAAACAATTGAGTGATAAAGAAAAATTTAAATATTTTATGAGAGTTATTGCATCTGATACACAGCAAGGTAGACTTATGTGCGAGTAATTAATGACATTAAAAACTAAACTTGTATCATTCTTCATTGATAGCACAAGCAATTGTTGACATTATAAGACAATTTAAATGGAGCTATGTAGTCACGATTGGAACGGAAGGTAAAATACTGTTGAACGTTATTAGTGTTACTTTCAAATTTAACCAATCTTTTGACATTCTTACAGGGGATTATGGTCGAGGCGGTGTTGAAGCTATTCGTCGATTGTTACACGATGACGTTTGTATTGGAGCCGATTTGACGATGGTGAGTTACTGTTATCTTCATTTTTATTGTACATTCGAAATTTTGAAAAAAAGTTGAAAATTCTATTTGCTTTTTGTTGTGATTTAATTTTTTGTTTGTAATTAGCCTATCGGAGCAAATGTCACTGTTGCAAAACAATTAATTAGGCAAATCATTCGGAAAGCTCCTCGAGCACAGGTTCTTGTATGCTTTTGTCTCGATCATTCAATTAGTCCTCTTCTTCAAGCGATTAAAGATTTGAATTATACGCAACGTTTTGTTATATTAGGAAGGTAAATAATATTTTTCTATACAATTTGAATTGAATGAACACACTTGGTCTTTCTCTTTCAGCGATGCATGGGCTGATAGACTAAATGTTATTCCAAACAACACTGAATCAGTCGCTCTTGGAGCGATTACAATTAAAGCTCGTTCATTGCGTGTTCCAGGCTTTGAACAATACTTTCGTTCACTCCATGTCAATGCTAATAAACGAAATATTTGGTTTCAAGAATATTGGCAACAAAAATTTCGATGCAGATTTAAAGATTCACCGTCCTCAAAGTTTAATAGAGTTTGTCAACCAGGTATAAAATATGAATCTCAATTATTATTCTAAAGTACTGTATACATGTTTTCTTTTTATACAGATCATGAAAGTTTAGCTAGAGTACCGTATAACGAAGATCCAAAACTAGCATTTGTTATCAATTCAATATTGGCCGTTGTTCATGGTTTAGATAAAATGCATAAACAAGTAAATACTAGACAGAATAAAATTAATGTATTTAATAACACTTATATTTAGATTTGTAATGGTACCGGTGGTTTATGCAAAGAAATGGCACGTATGGATTCATCATTACTAATGCAATATTTACGAAAAAGTCGATTTACTGGAATAACAGGTATGTCTAGATTACATAGCAAATAGTTTTGTTAAATCTACTTTCTTTCTTTAGGTGAAGAAGTATTTTTTGATGCGAATGGCGATGGTCCAGGCAGGTTAGTAAAGTAAATTTTCTTCACATGACATAATACTATTATATTTATTATTTTAGATATGATATATTGAATTTACAAGGAATTGCTAATGGTACTGATGTTAATCTTACGTATGTGCATGTTGGTACCTGGAATACGGGTGCATTAGAACTCAATTCATCGTCAATGCATTTTTTTGCTGATCAACGACAATTACCAGCATTGAATGTTAGTCAATATTGTAGTGAAGCATGCAGAAAAGGACACGTTAAGGTAACTAATATTATTTACCTTAAATTAAATGATACTTTGACTTTTATATTCTGAGTAGAAATTTACTGATGAAGAAAGATGCTGTTGGCAATGTTATCCGTGTAGCAATGGAGATATTGTTTTGGATGAAACAACGTGTTTTCAGTGTGCAACAGGTTTTTGGCCAAATGCTGATAAGACTGGTTCGTTTATATAAATAAATTTCTTTTCAATATCTAAATATTTTTGTTATTTCAGCCTGTTCATTACTTCCAATAAGTACGATAAATTTTCGACATCCACTATCAATAATAATTTGTTTTGTTGCTGCTATTGGAATAATGATTAGTTTTTTTGTTCTCTACATATTTGTACGATTTAATGCGACGCCTGTTGTGAAATCTACAACGCGTGAATTAAGTTATCTAATACTAATGGGAATTCTATTTTGTCATTTAACAGCATTCGTTATTTTACAAAAACCTAATTATGTTATATGGTAAGATTCAATAATTATTATAAATTTTTGTTAACTAATTGAGCTCTTTTTCTTCATATGTAGTGTATTGACACGTCTATTGCCTGGCATATCATTTTCAATGATTTATGGATCATTAGTAACAAAAACAAATCGTATAGCAAGAATATTGGCTCGCAGTAAAAAGAAAATAATAACTAGTCGATTAAGGTTTATGAGTGCTCGCCATCAATTAGCCATTGCATGTATTATACTAGTAACAGAAATATGCATTGTTGGTAGGTAAAGTGGATTAATTTGTTAAAAAATATTCCTCATCTTGTTCTATTTAGCTTATACTGTGTACAAAGATCCTCCTAAAGCAGTTCTCATTGACACTGGTGGTCGTCTACTTTTAACATGTAAAAAATCACTTCCCGGTATTGCAGCTCCATTGGGATTTGATGGACTATTAGTTTTTTTATGTACATTATATGCAGTAGGTTACATTATCTATATTCAACGGTATTGAATAACTAACTATTTTCAAAATGTTTCTAGATAAAAACAAGGAATTTACCAGAAAATTTTAATGAAGGTGAATATTTTGTGATGATTATTTTTAAATAATTTTACATTTTTCTTCTTTTCTAGCAAAATTTATTGGCTTTTCAATGTATACAACATGTGTCATTTGGATAGCATTTGCAGCTGTCTATTTTGCAATTGAAGCCAAAGTATTTTCGTTATGTGTCGCAACTACATGCAGCGCATATGTTGTACTAATATTCTTATTTTTTCCAAAGTTGTATTTAATCATCTTCAAACCCGAAAAAAATCAACGAAGGTAACAAAACAGTGAATATATATATATATATAATGTAAAATTAGAACTCGTTGTTCATCTTTCAGTGCATTTGCCACCAACAAAGATATTCGTTGTCATTTTGGGTCATCGACAACATCAAAAAGTGATATGAGTTCTTATAGATACAGTGAAGGATCTAGCCTATTTCGAAAGTCAGTTTTACATCGAATCCGCTTTGGAAATACATTACGATTGAAAGCTGTTTGTGCAAATTCAGCTGCATCTTCGCTAAGAACAAATGATATGCCTGGTAGTGATCGTCGTCCATCACGTTCTTTATCAGCTTATCCAGAACATTGGATGTATCGTTCACATTCAAATTCCCCGAATCAAACAATTAACTATGGTCCAACAACAACGATAAGTGCTGATGATTTAAGTTACAGAAGTGGGATTTTAAGCCAACATATAATCAATGAACTTTCACCTGTGATTAAGTTATCCGACGATTCTATTCAAAATCATATAACAACAAATTCTTCTCCGAATAACATCGTCGTTACAAAAACTAATTCGACTAATAAAATAATACATTTTCCTGATTGTATTCATTCGACAAATCATTTACCAAATCTCAGTATTGCAACAACAACGACATCCTCAACAGCTACACCACTCTCGGATAACACACAATCAAATATCCGTTCGAGAAAAAAATCCATACCTGCCTATGATTTACCAGTACCATCGGCAGTAAATGATTTGGTCTATGATGTTGAAAGTGAATCGTCGAGTGCGTGGACAGAAGCCGCTGCCATTGAACATGAATGTACTGAAAATGGACCATCACTAATGTGTACATGTCGTCTATTATGGCAATTAGAGAAAGAAACAGATAGCATAGACAAATTTAAAATGTTTTTTAAACGAGAAAATTATGATGTGACATGGGATTATGTACAAGGCAGTTCTGAAGTTTAGATGCTTACTCTCACTGTTGTTCTTTCTTTTCTAAATGGGTGTTGAATATAATCATAAACATATTTTTCTAATATATCTACTTTTTTTATACATTTCTTTGTCAATTTCTTACACAAAAACTATTTTTTTGTTTTTCGCTAGTCGGACAATAACATCAGCAGTGCTTTTTTCTTCAATCCCATTTCTATAAAATTAATATGCAATACAATATTCTAACTCTTAAACTATCTCTCTCTAAATAACATACGAACCTTATTGTTTCCATTCTACTCGAGTAGAAAGAGTGTTTAATACGTTCACGCATATTTTTCATATTTCTGGTCCATCATTGTACTGTTTCAAGAAATTTATCAAGATTTTAATCAATGAAAGTCTCTTTCAGAATTCTTTAATTTTTCTTCTCAATAAGGTTGTGAATGCGAACGCGTTAACCATCAACACCTTGCACCTTACAAAACTTGAAGGATTTTGATAAAAAGCTATTAAAAGCAGCGAACCACCAGATATTTAATATGTCCAGGTGTTTTTCGATTTAGCTTCCGGGTTCTTTCCTTTATATGGGGCGAGGGTGATTTCTGGAGGCCCCGGAACCAACATCCGGTTTTCTGCAATATTTTCTTGTAAAGCCTCGATGTTACATCTTGGAAAATGAGATCGAAAAACACCTGGCCGTATTTGATATCTGATGGTTCCCTTCTTTGAATTGCTTTTCATCAAAATCCTTCAAGTTTTGTATTCTAGATTTAGATAGATTTTTGTAGAGATTTTCAAGGACTATCCATCCCCTCATGTATTTTTTTTATTTCCAATCATGTGTCAATCATGTATTTTTACTTAGTCATCTAAGTGAAAGAAACATGAGAAAAACATAATTTACATCATCCATGAGTGATCTTTGAGGGATGATCGATCGGCGCCCTATTGGTGAAGAACCACTCGGAGTTTTGTTACCAAAAGTAAGCAAAATTACCTATAATCAAATAAAAATACTTTTATACTGATTTCTCAACCATTTTTAGGCAAAAATTAATATGGGTCGATTATCAACCTTATGCGTTGTATGACATATCTATCTAGCAGCAGGTCATAATCGGATGTAAGCACTGCTCAAAGTTATGTATATGACATCTGCTTTCTTTAGACATTCATACGAAAGTTGATTTACGAGAGTCAGCCGATGTGAATTATGTTGAAACTGTTCATTTATCAGCATTTAAGACGGATTTTTGGTCGAAACGAGCTGTGTCCGCCGTTTCATTTGATTATGATGAAGATTCATCCTAATTATAGTTTTTATTAAAGATTTTAGTTTTGTAGACATATCATGAAGTCTACAGATATCCGAAAAGTCGTTTTCCTCAAGTTACAAGCGGAAATGTTAACTTTGAAATTGCAAGAGATTTATGTAAACTGTACATAACTTTTCTCTCGCCACTGCTGGACGCCTACGGCTTTCATCATTCCACTCAGCATGTAAAACTGCACAAAATCATGTGGGTCTCGTCACTTACACTGAAGGTCGATGTAATGGTAGTGGGTTTCTTATGGATTAACCGAAGTAATTTATTACATTTAGTAGAATTTAATGTTGAAAATGCTATATTTCAGTTTGACCATAGTTTATAATCACCCAGCAAGTTTAGGCCTCTTTTCTTGGTGGTTCGTGAGATATAAACATTTCATTTTTTCCCAGTAAAATGCTGATGAACTCCTGATACAAGAAACGTGAAAACGTTTTCTTTTTACCAAAATATAGT